CGGCTCACAACAAGTAAAAAGCATTTAAAATATTTAAAAATAGAAAATTAAAATCAACACAACATCCATTCCATCAAATGGGGCTGGAAATTAGTCAACAGCCCCAGGCCTGCCGGAACAGCCAGGTCTTGGTCGCTTTACGGAAGGCCGGGAGAGTGGTGAGGGTCCGGATCTCAGCAGGTAGCTCATTCCACAAGGCCGGTGCAGCTACAGAGAAGGCCCTCCCTCGAAAAATATGGTACATACCACTTCACAGTGCTTTACAGCCCCCTCTAAGCGATTTACAGAGTCAGCACATTGCCCCCAACAATCTGGGTCCTCATTTTACTGACCTCTTTTACCGAAGGATGAAAGACTGAGTCAATCTTGAGCCTGGTGAGATTTGAACTGTTGACAGCCGGCAGTCAGTAGAAGTAGCCTACAGTACTGCACTTTACACTATGCCACCAAGGCTTATATATAGTGAACATATTGGAAGGCTAGATAAAGAAATTTGGAGTAAAATCATTGGCTTGCTTTCAGATGTAATTAGCCGTACCTGGAAAATAATTTTGCATGAGTGCCCACAATACAAGTTGTCCTTGACTTACAACCATAATTGGGACTGGAACTTCCATTGCTAAGCAAGGCAGTTAAGTGAGCTACCTATGATTTTGTGACCATTTTTTGCTGCAGTTGGTAAGCAAATATGGCTTCCCTCGTTGACTTTGCTTGCTGGGAAAGTCACAGATAGTGATCATCTGACCCCATTTTAAACTGCCAATTGCCAAGAGCGGGATAATGATGACCCTGGGGATGCTGCGATGGTTATAAGTGTGAGAATAGTCGTAAGTCATTTTGTTAAGGTAATTTTGAAAGGTCAAATCAAGGTGTCAGGGTTCCGATGGATACCCTAATTAAATCATGAGCCTTGAGCCAAGCTTCAAAAGAAATCCAGTTATACAGTCCAGAAATACAGGACTATCTGTATGCTTTTAAAATTCAAAATAACAGCTAAAAGCTTCTTTCACCAGGATTTTTAGTTGCATAGAAAGTGTAGAGTTTAAGTTCACTATCTAGGGGAGCATATTCTTGGGACTGTCACAAGTTGAGTTAAAAGCCTTTTTGACCACTTATGAAGAAGACCCTGTTATCAATATATAAATTTATCTTTCTTTAGCCATGAGTCCTCTGCTGTTGGACTGTCATCCTCACTGACAGATGACTTGATGTAATTAGAGTTGTAATCTAACAAATAAAACATGTCTGGGAATGCACATAGGAAAGATTTATGATTAATGGCATTGACAATACAAATGTATCTGTGGAACAAGGTATCTTGAAAAGTATTGATGAATGTAATATCTCATAATTTTTAGATTCCAGATAGGGAATTCCTGCTCCGTATATCCTACATGGAAATTCATAATGAAACTATACAAGACTTGCTATGCAGCAACAATAGGAAAAAGAAGTCACTGGTTGTTCGCGAAGACATCAATGTAAGTACATGAGGCTGGAGAAATCCACACCTCTAGTGCTGCCTCTCCAGCAAGCCTCCCCATGGCAGCCATTCCTTCACTAGTCTCAATTATTCTTGGTTGTTCCTGGGCTGACCAGGGTTTTTTGAAGGTTTTATTCATGGTTAAGTCAAAGTCAAACATTGACCCCAACTCTATATCAAGTACAAGGCACAATACTCACAACTGATAATGAATGTTGATTGGTATAATAATAATTGAATGTTTCTCTTCTAGAGAAATATCTATGTTGAAGATCTGAATGAAGAAGTAGTGGTTTCTCCAGAAGAGGTTATGAGCTGGCTGAAGAAAGGAGAAAGTAAGATTTGCTATCCGATAATGTTTTAAACACATTGAGCATTATATGCAAATCTTGGAGTTCTAAGTCCGTTAAAAGTCAGGCCTCCATGTCTGCAAATGAATACATACTACCTTCAATACATTTTCTTTATTGTCTCCTCCCTGCAGATGAATACTCCCCCATTCATACAACTTGTCTTTCTTGTTCATGTAGGCAACATGCTCACGTATGCTCACATATACAGTTATAGCATTACATTTATATATTGCTCCATAGCGGTTTAGAGCACTCTCTAGGCGGTTTACAGAGTTAGCATATTGCCCCCAACAATGTGAATCCTCATTTTACTAACCTCGGAAAGATGGAATTAATCTTGAGCCCGTCAGGATCGAACTCCAGAGTGTGGTCAGAGTTTGCCTGCAATACTGCATTCTAACTACTGCACCATCAGGGCTCCTATATAACTTTCTTTCTCCGTGCCTCAGGCACACATGCAAACATGTGCAAGCACATAGCAATGAAACCACTATGCTGAATTAAACATTTGTGGTACAGTACGTGTTAGCCCTTTCCTTGAAAATAAAAGATGAAGAGCTTGCTGTGCTGCTACCCCTGTTCACAGCTGGAGTGGGGGTGATCTTCTGTTGTTTGGGGTGGGGGGGGGGGGAAAGGGCTGCTGTAAGAGTTCCCAGAAAAGAGGTGCAAAATAACAAGAGTTGGAAGGGGAGTTGGAGGCTGTGAAGGCGTTCAGTGGGAAAAGGGAACCAAGTGTGTTTATAGGCACCATCTGCTGAAGTCTATTTTATGGGAAACGAGAATAAGTCAGAAGAGAAAATCCAATATAAGAATAATCTGTATCTAATGTTTCTTCTAAACAGAAAACAGGCACTATGGTGAGACAAAAATGAATGAAAGAAGCAGCCGCTCTCATACAATTTTTAGAATGGTAAGTGATTGCTAATTTTTGGATTCCTACTTCATTTACTTTGTGCCACAGTGCAGTGTTTTTCAACCTTTTTTGTGCAAAGGCACACTTTTTTCATGAAAAAAATCACGAGGCACACCACCATTAGAAAATGTTAAAAAAATTTAACTCTGTGCCTATATTGACTATATATAAAGTAATTCTCCCACGGCACACCTTACACTATGTCACGGCACACTAGTGTGCCGCGGCACAGTGGTTGAAAAACACTGCCACAGTGTACGGCAGCATCTGCCATGCAGCTACTAAATAAGCACATTATACAAAAGATTGAATGGCACATATCTTCCACCATATAGAGAATCATATCAATTGAGGCACTTCAGTTCTTAGTGACTCCTGTAGGACAAATGAGGCCACAGGTCTGATGAAGAAAATCCTGACCTCAAGGTGTGGGAATTTATGGTGATAAATATAATATTCCCTTGGTGATTTTGAGGGCATGTTCTTTATTTTTATTTGGCCAAACCATAAATCCTGTTCCCAAATGGCTGTCCAGTTTTGTTTGAAAACTACACTGACAGAACAACCTTAATTCTAGGAAACAAACTTGTTCAATTGATTGATAGCTCTCAAGATCAGAAAGTTATTTTGAGTTTGATTCTCTCTGTGTAAAGCTTTCATCCATTGGTTCTGGTCCTATCACTCTGAAGAATCAATCCACATTCCTGCTGATACTATTTCTATCATATCTTCCCTTAGCCTCCTTCTTCAGACTTTGAATTGGGCTTTATCGTCTAACAATATTCAGGAACTGATGAATAAAATAATCTCTTATGGGGAAGAATATATTACAAATAGCTTCATCCAGTTGTGGTGGGAGTGAATTCCTAGACAACACGGCTTTGGTGTCAGGCTAGGAAAGGTTGCCTCCTGTCCAGGAGTGGGTTCCTGAACTGGTTAGTACCGGTTTGCTGCACATGTGCGCACGCTTTGCTTGCGTGTGCACATTTGACTAAAAATTGCCCTGCGCATGCGCAGAACCATGCCAGCGACGGCAGAAGACACCGGAGAACCGGTTCAGGGGTGTGTCAGGCCTGGGTCAATGCCAGTTCTGCGACCCAGGTCTGAATTCCACTACCAGTTTAGCCGAACCGTCAGCAACCCACCTCTGCTCCTGTCCCTTAAGGTAGGGGGAATTAACCTGGTACGCATGCTGCACTAAAATTAATGTGATGTGTGATTCCATTTAAATGTTTGTCTAGCTCTGTTTTGTAATGTATAAAGGTGTTTTTTAAATCTGGTTCATGATATTATCTTTTTTTAAAGATCATTGAAAGTAAAGAAAAGTATACTTCTGGCTCGAGCTATGAAGGAGCTGTAATGGTTTCCCATTTGGTGAGTTATTTGTAAGGTTGCACAGGTTATAATAAGTGGGATGTGATAGTACACTGGTGTAACTTTATAAACATTAAGTGACAGTTATGTTTTGATTTATATCAATAATCTAATAAATTTCACCTGAATGAGACAAAAGAAATTGGGCTGGAGTACATGGAAAACCCTCCCTAAGTCCCATCAACAGCTACTAGAACAAAACAAGGGGGATAAAGGGGTCCTGAAGCCCACCCACTCTTTATCATCTTTGGACCCAGATTTTGGGACTTCTGTCCCTCTGGCTGGTGCCCGCCAGCCTAGTTGAGAATGTGGTTAAGTGCACATGGGTGAAACAGCAAATATATACATTGTAGCCAGTAAAGGTTTGCTATTATTTTAAATGGAGTATTCTAAACACCGGTTTGTGCTTTAGTGTTCGCTTGAAAGTGATTTGAGTGTGGCTATTTTCCAGCGCTGTGAATGTGTGAGCGAGTGACCATAAGCTGAACTTGGGATCATGTGTGTAACACTTGCTTTTTTATATATATTGGTGCTTTCTGAATTTCAGTGAGTTTGAGTCATCAGTTCTAATGTTTGATTATGCTCTTCAGCAAGTTTTACAGGAGGCAAAATCGTTCAAATAAAACTAAGCTTAACAAATTCCGTCTCAATTTTTCAGAATTTTGTAGATCTGGCAGGAAGTGAAAGAGCCAGTCAAACAGGGGCTGAAGGTATGTGTTTACTCCTCAGTGAAACTTTCTGTCTGTAATTCTGTAGTAACTTGTTCCTAATTTATTGCCTTAAGTAGACTGCATTCATATCCTGCCATTTTCAAAGCTGGCTGGGGAATTCTGGGAGTTGAAGTCCACAAGTCTTAAACTTCCCAAGTTTGGACACCCCTACTCTAAAGTAAAAAAGATTCTTCCAGAGAAACTCCTGTTTTAAATTACAGGTAGTCCTCAACTTACAATAGTTTATTTAGTGACTGTTCGAAGTTACAATGGCACTGAAAAAAAAGGACTTGTGACCATTTCTTACTTATGACACTTGCAGGATCCCCATGGTGATGTAATCAAAATTCAGACATTTGGCAACTGTCTCGTGTTTATGAGGGTTGAGTGTCCTCGGGTGATGTGATCACCTTTTGCAACCTTCTGATAAGAAAAGTCAATGGGGAAGCCATATTTACTTGACAACCATGTTACTAATTTAACAACTGTGGCAATTCGCATAACGACTGTGACAAGAAAGGTTGTAAAGCAGGGCAAAATTCACTTAAGCAAATGTCTCATAGCACCAGAAATTTTGGGCTCAATTGTCAAGGACTACTTATAAATGTGGTAATGTGGGAATATGGAGATAACACATAATTGCCCACTCCTAAATGAACAATACTTAATAAAGGGCTCATACTGATCATTAGGAACTGTAATGGTATATCTGCATAAAGTTAAATAGCCATTATTGGCTAGAAATGTAAGAATAAAATCACAATACAGCTATTTTTAACCTGTGCTAGATTGTGTTTTTACTTCTGTAATCATTAAAGGTTAGATATCCTAAACTACCCTGTTTCCCCAAAAATAAGACCTCCCCAAATAATAAACCCTATTTTGAGTGCATGTGCTAAAATAAGCCCTCCCTGAAAATATTGCAACACAACAGCAGCCATGATGTGACCACGCTCGTCGCCTCCTGCACCTCAAAAATAATAAGATCTCACCTAAAATAAGGCCAAGCGCTTATTTCAGGGGTCAAAAGAAAATAAAACCCTGTCTTATTTTCGGGGAAACACTATATTAATGCCCTGTTATCAGAATGAACAATTTTAAAAGGAAACTAGACAAATTCATGGAGTGTAGGGCTGTGAATGACTTTCAGTTGTCGTGGCTGTGTCATCTTTATTGTTGAGGTCCATACTTCCCAGTTCCAGTTGTAGAAGAATCTGAATGAAGAATCGCATTCGCCCTTAGCTTGTGGGCTTTCAAAAGGATCCATTCAGTTACTTGTTTTGGGTTTTTTTTAATGCTGGATTGTGTAGACTGTGTATTTGATTCAGTACATCTTCCTATGACCTTAAAATGAGAACTCATTTATGATGCCGTAAATCCATACAGCAATAACTGAAATGATGTGTTTTATGTATGTGCTTAGGGATTCGACTTAAAGAAGGGTGTAATATTAACCGGAGTCTCTTCATCTTGGGCCAAGTTATCAAGAAACTTTGTGATGATCAGTCTGGGTAAGAAATAAATAATTCTTGTTTCAATTAGAGCATCAAATGGTTGATGAATTTTGAATCTCTCTTTTTCCAACTTCAATTTTTTACATACATCTTTTCATATGTCTCATATAGATAGTTTTATCATTGCACTGATTAGTGTTCTCACTTTGTCTAAAGATAATGAGTGTGCTGTTGAACCAATTTTCCCTTAGCCTCGTCTATAATATTTTGTTGTTTCTCTCATCTTTTTGCACCAGAGGCTTTATCAACTACAGGGACAGTAAGCTAACAAGAATTCTCCAGAACTCCTTGGGTGGAAATGCCAAGACTGTTATTATATGTACAATTACACCAGCATCATTGGAAGAGACTCTTAGCACACTCCAGGTAATTTCTAATGTTCTTGCTAAAAGGCTATGGATATGCACAAGCAGAAGAGTGCAAACAGCAGTTGTCACTTCAAAACTATATACCGTAGTTACTCTTCATATATATGTGTGTGTGTGTGTGTGTTGTGCTGATAAATATACACACACACACACACATGTAGATAGATAGATGATAGATAGATAGATTGATTGATAGATAGATAGATAGATAGATAGATAGATAGATAGATAGATAGATAGATAGATAGATAGATAGATTCTCATTCTCCCCGACTATTGTACTATGTGGAAAAGTGTGAGTCTGTTCTACTTTTATTTTGTTGATTTGTTGCATTTTTGTTTATCTTCCAACATCGGCCTCAGTACAAGTCGTTTTTGAAACTTTGTCAAAGTGTAGTGCTACTCCTTAGAGACAGATAGCTAAAAAGTATTATTTGGGGTATCAGAGCTCAGTGTAAAGGATTTATTCACACATAGACCTAAGAGTGGTACCGAGTAGGAATTTGTGGCCTTCCAGGCCAGTCTATGAATTAGTCTACCCTGTTTCCCTGAAAATAAGACCTCCCTGGATAATAAGCCCAATCGGGCTTTTGAACACATGCACTAAAATAATCCCTCCCCGAAAATATTGCAACACAGCAGCAGCCATGAGGTGACCATGCTCACCGCCTCCTGCATCTCAAAAATAATAACACCTCCCTGAAAATAAGGCCAAGTGCTTATTTTGGGGCTCAAAAGAAAATAAAACTCTGTCTTATTTTTGGGGAAACACGATAATGAATTATATCCAATAAGAATAGTATGTTTTCAGTTTATGAATGTAATCAAACAAGATTTTTTTAAAAAATATACTGATTTTTATTATATTACTGGCCTTCTCTACATGTTTTGTCTCTTCTAGTTTGCCAGTACAGCTAAAAAGATGAAGAATACCCCGAAAGTCAATGAAGTTCTTGATGATGATGCTCTTCTAAAGAGATACCGTAACGAAATAGAAGAATTGAAACGCCAACTGGAAGAAGTAAGTTGCCTAGTCTAAATGGATTGGGTAGATCATTTTCCAGCCCAACAGGCCAAATCCATCAGAGAGCATGTACTGTTCTAAAAACTCATTAATTGTCTGCCCAGTTTCTTGAATGGTGCATATCACAAACTTTCAAACTTTGAACATTGCCTTCCAAGAGAATCAATGATTCATTATGTATGTTTAGATGCTACCTACATTTCAGCTGAATCTGGCAAAAGTCTTAGGACAAATTGAAAAACTGGGGGAAAAAATGCATCTAGGATAGGAGCAGGAATAAAATCTGAACAGAAATTTTAAGAACCAGTGAAGAAGCTGGACAGCTACTTAGTAGAACTCCAAAACGTCTGGACTCCTGACAGCCACAAGGGAAGCTTCTTATTACATTTTAGTAATCTGTAGCTAACTCTTTTTATTTCTCCTCTAGTGACTTTAATTTTTTTTTTAATTTAAAGTCACTAGTAATTTTTCCTCTTTGTTGGGGACACTGGGAAGCAGGAAAGTATTGATCCACTCAAATTTGTCTTGACTTACTAAGTGACTGATCTTTCTATGATCTCCATCTGAATAAGTCAAAAATTTTCTCTTTTTCCTTGGACATCCTGCCATAGATAATGTTTCCTAGTCTACCTTTTCAGAGATTGTATGAGTACTGTATTTTTCGGAGTATAAGATGCACCTTAGTTTTGGGGGAGGAAAATGAGAAGAAGAAAAATCCTGCCTCTGCCTACCAGCATCCATGGTATTCAGCTGGCTAACTTCCTGCCAGTGTGTGAGAGTTCATAACTTGGTCAGCCAACAAATAGGAACAGCAACTAAGTCAGCCAATGAGGGCTATTTGGACTCTCAAACAGTATTTGCTGTGTGAGCAACAAGGAGACAGGAAGGAGCCTGGCTTAGCTGAGAACTGAAAGTGAAACTGCTTGTGTTTTGCTTGTATTTATTGCTACCTTGGAAAACCTGCTTTTGCTATTGTATTGTATATTATTATTATTATTATTATTTTGAATCCTGCTGAATCAGTTACTTGTGTGTACTTTCTGAATGTGATTGCTGCTACAAACTGACCAGCCAGATCAGCTTTAGTACTTATTGCAGCTTGATTCAGCACAGATCAGACTGCCGAAATACCCCCAATCAGCTGTTCCAGGTTGCAGGGATTGCCACGGACCATCGCTGCCTCCATGCCTCATATTTTTGGGTGGGTGGGGGGTGCTACATTCAGTGTATAAGACACCCAAATTTTCACTCTCTTTTTGGGGGGGGCGGGGGGAGTTAAGTCTTATAGTCTGAAAAATATGGTAAGTTACATCCTGTAATGTAAATGTTAATGTTCAAATTCTTCATGTTTATTTCCTTGCAGAACCAAAATGTCCATTTGATAAGCAGCCTTGGTATCTTCTGTTTTAGGTTTCGTCGTATTCCCAAACCAAAGATCAGTTAGCACAACTCTTGGAAGAGAAGAATTCCGTTCAGAATGAGCAGCAAGACAGAATAAGAGCACTCACAGAGATGTTGGTGACTTCATCCTCTTTTTTGCGAGAACGAGAGCGAAAGGTAAGTATAAAGATTAAATCTTGCAGAAAGTTAGAAAGCATTGCTTGTTTTGTTTTGGAATTGTTATGTTTGGGAGGATGGGAAACATTTATGTGAACATAAAGAACCCTCATTCTCTTAGCCCAGAGGTCAGCAACCTGTGGCCCTGGAGCCACATGTAGCTCTTTCATCCCTCTGCTGCGGCTCCCTGCTGCCACTTGGCTCCACAATTGATAGGGCTTTCTATTAGGACAGGTAGAAGAAAAAGGACACCACGCTAGGAAGAGACTCTATGGTGGGGGAACCGGACTTCCGGTCAGCTTCAGAATTGAACGGTGGGCTTCCAGTTAGGACCTTTATGGCTCTTTGAGTATTTAAGGTTGCCGACCACTGTCTTAGCCTTTCAGAAGGCCATTAAGATTTAGATTTTTACCCAGACGCTGGAATGCAGTATGTCTGGAGTAAGTTTTTGGACATCCCAAGGGGTAATGAAGAAGGCAGGTTTTGTTTAGATTTTAGTAGTAATGGCTTTTATTTTTGTGATGATACAAGAAATATGAAAAATCTCAAAACCAATAGCATGTCTTAAATTCTAGATCTTTTAAATTCTAAAAATGCCACCAATGTAAGTTCAGGGTAAATCAAAAATTGATACATAAAACATGATATATATTTTTAAGGCACAGTTGATCTAGACCAGTGTGTCAAACCCGATTTCATTGAGGGCCACATCAGGGTTGTGTTTGACTGGGGGGGGGGGATGGGGGGTTGCTTTTAGTTTGTTTTATTAGCCCTCTTCCAGCACAAATGGAGCTTGTGTGAGTTTGGATTCAGCCCGTGGGCCTTGAGTTTGACATCCCTTTCTCATCTTGGTGATAGATTGAAGAGTTGAAGTTGTATGAAATGGTATTTTCATGGTTTTGCAACTGTTTGAGAAAATAGTAAAGACTTGTCTTCTGCTGTCTTCATAAAAACAGTCTTCGGTTGACAATTCTTGTTTGTCAGAACTCTTACCTGTTTCTCAAGGTTATACTAATAGCATATATCACAAAACTTTAGCATTGCTTGTCGGGCTGCTCTGTATTAAGACTTTTGTTGTTATTGCGAAGTTGTGTCCAATCCATCACAACCCCCCGGACAACATTCCCCCAGGCCTTCCTGTCCTCTACCATCACCCAGAGTCCATTTAAGCTCTCGCCAACTGCTTCAGTTACTCCATCCAGCCACCTCATTCTCTCTGTTGTCCCCTTCTTCTTTTGCCCTCAATCTTTCCCAGCATCAGGCTCTTCTCCAGTGAGTCCTTCCTTCTCATTAGGTGGCCAAACTATTTGAGTTTCCTCTTCAGGATCTGGCCTTCTAAGAGCAGTCAGGGTTGATCTCCTCTAGGACTGAATTAGTGGGTCATAATGTCAGGTGCTGTTACATTTACATCTGCTCTACTCCTTCCCTATCAAAGATTTTTCAAAATCAACATTGCCTATATTTTTGCCACTATCAGTTTCTGCTAAAGTTCCTGACTCTACAGAGAACAAAGTTTAAGTCCTTTTATTTATCATAGGTATAATGTAACCTATCATATCAAGTCCTTTCTCAGATCGATACAAGTGTATTAAGACTTCACGTCCCAGAATTCCTCAGTCCGTATGCTGGCTAAGAAATTCCAACCATGTTTGAAGTGTGGAAAAGCTTGGCCAACATATTATGTATGTGTGTGCTTATTTTTATTTTATTCTTAATTTAAGGATAAAAAGAAGAGGCGTGTGACCTGGGCCCCCGGGGCTTTAAGCCAAGATGGGGGAATCCCTTTCCTGGAAGACATTCCTGGAAGAGCTAAGCGCTTCAAAAGTTCTTTGCCTTGTGTGACAGAGATGGAAGAATGTAAGTTCTTTTCCTAAGAAAATGTTTCAATTGACTCCTAAATCTTAAAAGGAATATACCAGTTAATTGTGGCTTGTAGCAAATCAAGACTTGTCATTCGTAAAAAATTGCTAATAGTAAATGCCATCATATGGCTCTTTAGAAGGTGTGCTTAACATACATGTTATTTGTCTGATACTGTTGATGTCAGGGTTCCAAATAGCATCCAAAAGTAAATCAGAGTCCAAGGTAAAGTATTGTTCAAAGTTCCAATTTATTAAGAGAGCCATGTTGGCACATGTGGGAAAACCTGAATCTGAAATCTTCCCAGTTTCCAACTCAATTGAAAGTTCAAGATCTTGCCCCCACACCCACAAATCCATCACATGGACCAATCTTCCACTGCCATGCTGGAAGCTTCCACCCATCCAATTCTGGTCCGGTGCAGAGACAAAGGATGACCTTGGTTTTCTAGAAAGAATTTTGTTATGGCTACATACCATCTAACTCCGTACAATCCCCCCTCCCATTTTCCCACAATAGAAAATGCATAGTAGAATAATAGAAAGTGTGGCAGGCCTAAGATCCACAAGAAAATATGGCTGCAGACCTGACAGTTGAATTTTGTTATATATGAGATGGACTGTGAAGAGTGACATTCCAGCCTTAAACTACAGGTGGTCCTCCTTTAACAATCATTTATTCAGTTACTGTACTTATAGGAGGTTGTTACAACCAGACCATGTACTTATGGCCATTGCAACATCTCCACAGTCACATGATCATGATTTGCGACCTTCCTTGCTGGCTTCCTACAAACAGTTGTTTGGGAAAGCAGCAGGAAGTTGGAAGTTGAGGTCAAGTATGGTCTTCACTTAACCACCTGGGTAGTCTTCACTCAACAGCAACTGTGGGGCTTCCAGAACTGCTGTCACTGAGCAGCACAGTCACACTGCTTTTGACTTACCGTATTTTTCAGAGTATAAGACGCACCAGAGTATAACACGCACCAAGATTTTGAAGAGGCAAATTTTTAAAAAAAATGTTTTTGCCCCTTCAGACCTTGCAAAAACAGGTCCATTTTTTGTCCAAAACAGGGCATGCATAGCCTTTAGAAGGCTTATAGAGTGCTTCTGGGGCCTGGGGGGCAATAATGAGCAAAAAACAGCCCATTTTTTGCTTATTTTTGCCCTCCCCACCCACCCCCAAGAGCATTCTGGAAGCTTCCTAAAGGCTATGCACCACCTATTTCACAGAATTTCCATTTAATTTTATATGCTTCGGGGTTGGGGGTGTTTTTATTTTTTTTCCTTTTACAAGTTTTTTTATTTTTATTTTCATATAAATATCCATAAGTATACCATTACATCTTAGCAAGCACTTTTATGTATTATCCAATATTATATTATATCTATTCCTCTTATCATCCACCCACAACTCCTCTCATTTGCTCTTCTACTTTCCATACACCATATTATACCCTATTCCACCTCAGCCCTACCTTCTCTCCCTCTCTCCTCCTCCCTACCTCCTTCCTTCCCTCTACCATCCCTCCTCTCCTTTCTATTTCTATCTCCCCTTTTCTCTCCTCTCTCCTGTTTTTGCTCCTCTCTCTCCTACTCTTTTCTTCACCTCTTCTTCCCTCTCTCTTATATCCCCACTCTTACCCTCCTTCCCTCTCCCCTCTTCCCTTCCACTCTCTCCACTAGGCTTTACATGGTATATTTCAGCATCAGAGCAAACTCAATGTAATATTGGTGGTATTAATCACATTTCATATTAATAATTTTACATACATCCTCCTTTTAAGTGTATACATATATAATAATTCCATTATTGTTCCCCTGATTTGGGGTGTTTTTAATTCTTAGCTGTATCCTCGGACATCTCCGACTATGAAGATCCACCCAGTGTTATGCCTGAGGAGGAATGGATCCCGGGATCGAAAATAAGCTTTGTAAGTATTGGGGGCTGATTAAAAAAACATGCAGAATTTGCAGAGAGGGTTGGATATATTGTTGAACCATTTTTTCCAATGCAGTGGGCAAACATTCTTCAGTGGGTTGTAGAATTGCACATTAAGGGGAAATACAGCTTATCAAAAATTCTTCCCCAATGCCTCTGTTTTATGCCAGCAGCGTCTTGATCTGCCTGTAAGGGAACAGGTTCTCTTTTCTTATTATCTTTATTCCTAACTAGATCTATATTATTACAAATCCGATAAAATAAATGTTATTTGCATATTATTATGTGTTAAAAAAGTTTTTCTTCCAGCTGAGAACATAATTTGATGATGAAGCAGAATGGTTTTAAACAACAATCCCTTTTAAGTTTCTTTACATTTGATATTTTGCAAAGTAGAAGAATGTTTGTTGCCCACTGAAATGTCTTTTGTTCTAGACTTCTAGGAGAGAGTCGATTCAGCTTTGCCAAAGCCTCTTGGAAGAAAGGGTGAGTCATTTTTGTAGATTGCAAGATATTCAACCAGAGATTATGGGTAAAAGATGTAATTTCCTCCATTCCTTTCTTGGCTAGGATAATGCCGTCACTGAACAGCAAACTATAAAAGCAAAATTTGATAGTGTGTGCTTGGAGAAAGAACAGCTGACCTATGAACTCACAGAGCTGCATGAGAAAATATCAACCCATGAGTTTATGGCCCTTGAGAAACAGGCTTCTGAAGAGCAGGAGGTGAGAAAAAAGGAGAGTTTGCAAATGAAACATTTGTATGCAAATGAAACATTTCCATAAGCTTTAAAGGCTTTCATTGTGAAGTGCAAACAGACTAAATGCCACTGCAGTTCTTTCAAAACATTTAAAGTTGTAAGGATTTTTCCCCCAACTATTTTATACAGGTAATCCTCGAGTTATGATAGTTCACTTATTGACCGTTCAAAATTATGTGATAACACCCCCTGAGTATTTACAACACAGCCCCTAAATTACGAATGTTGCAGCACCACAGCAATAATTCACACTCATGTACGACTGCAGAGGCCCTGCTTATTCACCCTGCTTATTCTCCCCACCTGGCTCACCACAATTACTCCCCACCCCCCACCCCAATCCTGCCGTGCCGGACTCACTTACCTTGCGAAGATCACCTTTCTCTCTTTTGCGGTTTCTTTGAGAGTGGGACAATTTTGCTTCCACTTATCCGAAAAACGCTTTTTGCACACCAAGAGTAAAATATTCGGGGGGGGGGGATTATCTCATGTGACTTCAGACCGCCATTCTCTGCGAAAGCAGATGTGTGCCTGAAGTCACACGAGATCACAGGCCCCAGAAGCTTCCAGTCTCCATGCAAAACGTTTGCAAGCCGACTTCCAATGCATCCCAATTGTTTAGGACTTCAGTTCCCAGATTTCCTGACCAACACATCTGAAGACAGTGCTGGATAGGAAATCTAGGAGTGAAAGTGTTATCCTGGAGGACATAGATTAGGGCAAAGTGTTTGGGGCACATGGCACTATAACTTTGCGCAGCATCTTGCCCAACGATCACCTGGGAATAATGCGTTTTCTCTCTCAATGTCCATTATGAAAGGAAGATGGGACATAAATGCACTAATTTTAATGGGATATAAATTACTGAAGTAGAATTAAACTTCTTGTGTCCAACCATGAAATATTAATTTTGCAACCAAGGCATTCTACTTTGAAAGACTGAGAAGTAATAACAATTACTGGATTTACACGTCTTACAAAGCTAAGCTTTGCTTTTGACTATATACATAATATATTGAGCCATGGTTCCACAACCAACCACAATGATTACGTTTGAGATGAGCCAAAACATGGCTTATTTGATTTTAGCTTAGTGTTATGTATAAACCAAGTCATCATTGCACAGTGCCATGTACAAATCTAGCCACTCTAATATTGAGGTTGAAATTTTGTTTCCTAGAATTTTTCTCCTGGTTAAGATATGCAAAAACATTATTTCCTGCAGTAACAACTAGATCAGGGGTGTCAAACTCAAAGCCGGCAGGCTGGATCCGGCCTGCAAGATGTTTAAATCTGGCCCATAGTGCCGGTCTGGAAATACTAAAGGCCCTTTTTGGTGGGTAGAGTGTTGCTGGAAGCCAAAAACAGGCCACACGGGGCCTCCAGCAGCCTGTTTTTGGTCGGAAGGCTGCTGCAGGAGGCCATGGAGGCAAAAAAGGAGGCGTCGCAGGTGGTTTTGGCCAGCAAAGTGCTGCAGAGGCAGCCATCCTGTGTCTCCCACCCTCACTCCGCCAGCCCTCAGAGGAGCACTACAATGCTGATCTGGCCCTCGAAGAAATCCAGTTTGACATCCCTGAACTAGATGCTTATCTAAAATTGAATGGTTCTAACAGAATCTTTTAATGCAAAGGCTGCTTATCTTTCTTATGGTGATGGCAGGTAAACTAAACCAATGGGTGCTTCATAACTGCTTTGCTATTTGCTTCACTTGCTCCACAGATGCAACTAATGCATGAAATTACCAACTTAAAGGCTATAATTTCAAATGCAGAAATATACAATCAAGACCTTCAGGTGAGCTGGTGGTGATTGCCGGGCTTCTCTATTTATTTTTTTAAAATAAAATGGCGATATGAATGGGGGTGATTCCTTTGTATTTAGTATAGCATGTACTGAATGTGTTTGAGGTACACCTTTTTGTTTGTTTTATAGCAAGAAATAAACTCAAAAGACATGCAATGCAAGAAACAAGAGGAAAGAATCACAGCGTTGGAAGAGCACAATAAGAAACTTAAAAGCCTTGTAGAAGAGTTTAAAAAAGACAAAAATGATTCAACCATTTTAGTAGTAAGTCTGAAACATCTTAATTAATTGTGTATTTAGTAAGTGAACCATGAAAAGCATAAAAGGTAAAGGTTCCCCCTAACACATATGTGCTAGTCGTTCCAGACTCTAGGAGGCGGTGCTAATCTCTGTTTCAAAACTGAAGAGTCAGCTCTGTCCAAAAACATCTCCGTGGTCACGTGACCAGCATGACTAAATGCCGAAGGCGCACTGTTACCTTCCCACCAAAGATGGTTCCTATTTTTTTACTTGCATTTTCACATGCTTTCAAACTGATAGGTTGGCAGAAGCTGGGGCAAGTAACGGGAGCTCATTCCATTACATGGCACTAGGGATTCGAACTGCCAACCTTCTGATTGACAAGCTCAGCATCTTAGTCACTGAGCCACCACATCCCTCTCATGAAAAGCATATTTTTGTGTATTTGATTCCTTTGTTATTAGTTGAAGTTCTTATAAATAGCTACATAGAATAGTAGTTACTCTAGACTATCACATAGAGCAGGGTTGTCAAACTCGGGGCCCGAGTGCTGGATGCATCACTCACTGGCCATGGCCACCCCCAGTTGAGCGAATGGGGGGGGGGGAGTCTCATGATATGACATGTGATGACAACGTGACGCTGCAAGTTTGACACCCCTGAAGTAAATTTATCAAGTTTTCTAGGCAAAGCAAATAAGTTGTAGAAGTTACAAAAGTTGAAATAAGTTGTTAATAAGAGGTCTTGTCAGTTGATGTATTTTCACAATTTCCAGTGAGTGATTGGAGAATGAATGATATTTCCATATGGCTAAACCATGTCCGAAGGTTTGGTTTGCTACATGGAGAGAGAGAGATGCAAATTCTCATCGTGTTATTATCACATTGGCCTGATTCACAAGGAGGGAGAATTTTAAGCTATAATATGATTTCTTTGGTTCGGGTTTAACATATTGTGTGAAGCTAGCAAATTGTTTCTTATTTAACAAAACTTGATTATAATAAATCAAATTTGTTATCATGTCTAAACCCAATCACATAGAAACTTGTACTGCATTCATTGTCCATTTAGCAGTCTTGGGACAATTTGATAAATACAATTAGTCCTCAACTTACAAACACAGTTGAGGTTGATGTTTCTGTTCCTAAGTGAGACATTTATTAAGTGAATTTTGCCCCATCTTACAACCTATCTTGTCACAGTTGTTAAGTGAATCTCTGCAGGTGTTAAATTAATGACCCAATTGTTAAATGAATCTGGCTTCCCCATTGGCTTTGCTTGTTAGAAAGGGTACAAAAGGTGATCATATGACCCTTGGACATTGCCAAGCATCTGGTTTTTGATCACATGAGTATGGGGATGCAGTAATAGCCATAAGTATGAAAAACAGTGATGAGTCTTTTTTCAGTGCCATTGTAACTTTGGTCACTAAATGAACTGTTGTAAGTTGAGGACTACCTGTATACAAATTTTCTATAAATCGGTGTGATTTTTTTTTCATATAAATATAATAGCATGGGTTAGCATATTATTATGACTGAGGATGCATTTCTAAAGTGATTTCAATTTTCAGTGCTATAGAAGTGATCATAATTTCTCCAAGGAGTGAACATTTTGCTGATATTTTTGTCCTGTTTTGTGATAACCGAAGCAGCAAAATAGAGCCAGTAAAGGATAATACTGTGGTGTCAAACTCGTGGCCCATGGGCTGGATGCATCATGTGAATTTAAGAATTTAAAAACAATCAACAGCCACATAATTCGAGCGGGGACAGGTACTCGTGAGCCCCAGGCCTGTCGGAACAGCCAGGTTTTAAGGGCTTTGCGGAAAGCCTGAAGGGTGGTGAGGGTCCGAATCTCCATGGGGAGCTCGTTCCAGAGGGCCGGAGCAGCCACAGAGAAGGCCCTCCTCCGGGTGGTAGACAATCGGCATTGGCCAGCGGATGGGATTGGGAGGAGGCTTAGTCTGTGGGATCTAATAGGTCTGTTGGAGGTAATTGGTAGCAGGCGGTCTCTCAAGTACCCAGGTCCAATTGTTTGTTTGTTTGTTTG